CAGAGGAGGGCGAGAGCCGCCGGGAAAAGGCCGCCCCTCGCACAGGGGGCTTCTCCGGAGGGGTAAGGAAAGCGGGCGCGGCGCACCGTCTTTTTTGTTCCCGTCGCCCGCGGGCTGGGCAGGGGAATAAAGGCAGCTGTCCAGCGACTGGTTTACTCGGGTGCCGCCTCGGGGTCTCCCCGCCCCAATTAGGGGGAGATCGGGGTGATGTTGGTGTTCGTTGAGGAGCCTGGGGATGTCCTGGCCCGGGATTTAACGCATCTTTAAAGGGCTAGTTTGTTTTTTTAAGACCCTGATTAACCGCGCATTGTCGGTGGAAGTCTTAAGCGCACGGTATATTCCATCTTGATTTTTGAGAATCCGGAGAGGCTTTCTTTCCGAATTACCCTTGCCAAATCCTAAGCATATTCATAAACTGAACATATTTAAAATCCTTTTCGGTCTCTTGGCATCCCACAAATTGGGAACTTGCATCATGCATAAACGTTCGCTATCGCTTTCAAATTTTAGGGAGACGAAAGCTGTGATTTTTCTTTGTTCTGACAAGTAATCCTGGACTCGGTATATCGTATTCTGCCATGTTTGTTTTCCTTCCCTCATTCATCTCAAGAAGGGAAGAGAGTTGTGAATTGGAAGCTGATAACTGTTACAGTCCTTTCCCCTTTGTTATTAGAGTTATATTTTCAGTCTTCTAAGTCAGCTTTTGTCCTAGGGTTGTGGGACTCTTACTTTTGTGGGATGGAAGAATATAAAGTACTGGAAGTGGTCTGAACCCAGAAACAGACAGCTCGGCATATTTGACCTTGGAAATATCTGAAGTAATTGGGATCATGTTAGAATTCTCCAGGTCAGGCTGGCTGTTTCAGATTTCAAATTAGACATTTCAACTGCAAAATATTTTGCAATCAATTTTATTTACTGTAAGCCTTGGTCTACAGTAGGTTTGTTCTGTTCATCATTCTGCCGTATGGCTTGTTTATTCATGGGTTACTGATTGAACTACAATTAGCTAGAATTCTCACAACCTGGTCATCATTATCTTGTTGAGACTACAGAATTTGTCGCTTTTCATTTTTACAGCAGAAAGGGTCTTGAAATTTTGTTCATCAACTAGAGTTAACTACTCAAAAACTAGAGTTAACTACTCAAAAACAAAATAAAACAGGTCATAATTGGTATTTGGAGGGGAGTCAGCAAGAGAAAGATCTAGTTTGAAAATGATCCAAATCCATCCTAGGGCTGTTGAAGAAGATTCTGAAAAAATCCTTCCAGTGCATTGCTATGGGAAAAGCAGCTGAACAGTTTCTTAAAATGTTCCTCCCTCCCCTTGTCCTGGGATCCAGAGCTGAACATTCAGCTTATCTCATACTCCCAGTACTCACATTTATAGGTGCAACACAAGGAAAGAGGGGACATGCATATGCAACATGTTACATTATAATTCAGAATATACAGCATGGCCACTGCTAGTACAGGTTCTGGAAAGAATTTAGAAACTGCTTTATCTGTTGTCAGTTTGTTTATGGGAAACATTAGCAAGAATAAGCCATTCTATGGAGAGATTCTCAGAAACTGAGGATAGATAGGGAATTAATTTTAATATCTCACTGTCAGAAATGGCCCTCTTATTGGGATATGTACACTAGCCTGAATCATAGAATCCCAGGGTGCAGTATTTGTATATTCTCAAGCAATAACTGAATAGGTAAGTTTCAAACATGTACAATATTGTTATAGTGAAGAAACTGCAGGAAAGGAGTACAAGTATATGTTAGCTGCATAATTCCACACATAAGCTGTCTTTCCCATCTTGCAGATACAGTATAATTAGACAAGCATTTATAATAAGAAGAGCAATGTCTGAAAGCATAGGTCTGTTGATGTAAATTTATTTCTTACATATATAAAATTGTTTCACTGTGTAGTTTAGTTGATAGTAATGAAATAGATAAATAATTCAAATGATTTTAATTCAAAAATTATTTGAAAATTAATTAATAAGCATTATTTCCATTCACTTGTTTTGTTGAGCAAATGCAGCTAATAAAATAGCTCTATCCATAGTTTAGTTAGTACATTATCTGAACTAACTTTTCTAGTTTCAGAGAACAAATCTCAAACTAATTCAATATTATTTCTTGGCTTGAAATGTTGTATATATTTTAAACAAATATAATTTCCCTCACATTTAGATTTTAAAGAATAAAAATGTACTGAAAACTATTTTCTTAAGAGTTGGGTCCATAAATAGTTCTGTTCTAAAGACAGTTATCTGCTAATTCATTTTTTCATTTAATATATATAAATACTTTGATTAAACGTCTGATAACATCTTAATTATTAATTTTATAAATGCATTGTTCCGTAAAAGTGGAAAATGTTCTATGACAATCAAATCACCCATTTTATTTTTGTTGATGGACCTTCAGGCAGTAATAATTTAAGTTAAGATGATACTATTGTAAACATATTATTTTACAGATTATCTCTTTGAATAAGAAGTGCAGAGAATTGTTCATCTTTGAATGGCACCAGTTATCTGCTTAGAGTCTGGCTGTATTCTGGCAATTAGAATGTATTAATTTCCTGTGTCTTTCACAACTTTGTTGTTCTTCTCTCCAAGTAATATTAAAATAATCTATAATTAATTGTAATCACTAAACTGGAAAAATTATATAAACTAAAGTTTGTTAGAATGTAAAATTGTGGTTTAAAAATGGTTTTCATATCATAGTGCCTTTCCTTCCTTACCTTTCCCTTCCCTTCTTTCTTTTTAATGTTCATAAGGACATTTAGAATTGCCATTACTTATGAAAAAGCCAAGTCTTAAAGTATCCGATGTTCAAGCTAGAGCTAGAGAAAAAATAACAAGTAAATTTAGATAAAATGTTTTATATTTAGGTTATAAGTAGATGAGGTTAAACATGAAAGTAGTTTTAACTTCATAATTCACAATATTACATTTGTTATAGTACGATTTAAAAAGAAACTTTAAATGCTTTTATTAGGATGCAGGAGGCAGTCATCACAAAGTTTCCGTTTCTCCTGTGGTCCATGTTCGTGGTCTTTGTGAGTCAGTTGTGGAAGCAGACCTTGTGGAAGCTCTTGAAAAATTTGGGACTATATGGTAGGTTTAATGATTTTTTAAAAAGTTATAAAAGGGAAATGCATTTTGCTGTGGCTGAATTTATATAAAAGGCTAAGACAATTTTTATGGCTTGTTGAAATGATCTAATATAGCTCAAGCTGTTAAAAATAGTTCATCACATTATGGCATAATATTATGCACAAACCAGCCAATAGAATTTCATTACATTAGAATGAAGAAGCTATGATCAGTGATTTCTAAACAGTCTCTAAAATCAAGACATGTTTGGATATAATGTAAAACTGTAGAACTTGCAACCTTAATGAATTATTTTTCTAAATTGAATAAAGAACATGTTTAAGAGGATTCTTCATAATCTGAGTATTGAGCCAGTGTGATTCATATCCGCTGATCCTTGCCCCCAGACATATGCAGATTTTGTCAGATTAGTGAAAAATATTCCATGACAAGCTGTGTGAAATAATTTAGACTTGTTTTATGTGTATTGTTTTTATAAATATGTTTCATAGCAGCTAATTTGAAATAATAACATGAAATTGTTCATGATCAAAATTTTAATAGGCTATTTATAGTTAGTTATTTAAAAGATATAATTTAAAAGATATAATTTAATTTGATAGTTTATGTTATACTCGACTTTTAAGAAATTAAATTGCCTTGTGCATTTGGCAGTAAGAATTGTATATTAAGTTATATCAATTTTGCTTTAGCTTAATTGCTAAATTAAATTATCATAACTAATTAGTTGTTTTGCTGCTTTTTTCTTGTAGTTATGTGATGATGATGCCATTTAAACGTCAAGCTTTGGTAGAATTTGAGGATATTGAAAGTGCCAAAAAGTGTGTTACTTTTGCAGCAGATGAGCCAGTATACATAGCAGGACAGCAAGCATTTTTCAATTACTCTACAAGCAAAAGAATAACTCGTCCAGGAAATACTGATGACCCATCTGGTGGGAACAAAGTTCTGCTGTTATCAATTCAGAATCCTTTATATCCAATTACTGTGGTATGTCTGCTTTACAGCGTAAATCACAATTACCTTGGTGCTTTGTATTGCCCTATACTATGCTTGCTTGTGGCAAGCTTGCGCCTCCCTGCCTACTTTTTACATTGGCAGGATCTCAGAGTGTTCCTTCTGGTTTATAATGAATGTGAAAGCATCCTCATGTATATGCATGTGTTCTTTTTAGTATATTTTGTTCTGTAAAACTGGGAAAGTATGGTCTCATTTATGCCGCAGCAGTATTACTTTGGTTGTAGAAAATAATTTGGCTGAACTATAAAATTAGCGATTAATCCTTTTTTGGCCTGTGTTACAGTTTTTGCAAGCCACTTAAGCAACCCATAGCTTATGGGAAAAGAGATAATGATGAAATAGTTTCCTGTTTAACAGTGTCTTGTAATATATTATTTATTAGAGTTCTCAGTATATTATGTTTTTTTTAATTCAGATTTCGTTTCCTGTTTTTGTTAGTTACTTTTGACATTCTGTCCTCTAATTTTAGTAGTCTTAATGAATCTCATTGGTTTTAAGTTTTATAAGTAAACATTATTTTCTACTAAAGTCAAAGCTAAATGATTTCAAAGTAAATATTTAATATATGTTTAGAATGGAAAGCTGTTTTTCATTTTGTCTTATCTTCCTTCTCATGAAAGTGAACATATGTGACTCAGAATTGAACTGTGGAATCTTTGATGTTTTCTGAACCTGGTTGTTTACTGGCAGACATTTCATTACCCAACTAGATAACATCATCAATGTGTTGATGTTACCTAGTCAGGTAATGAAATGTCTGCAGGCAAACAACCAAGCTCAGAGTGCACTGAGGAGTCCTTCTCATTACTGGATTCATTATTATGATTGAAACAGTATATAAGTTCCATACATTAACAAATAACTGCATTTCTGTATAGGAAGAATGTGGATGAAAAACCACCTATATTTATTATGTAATCCCATTTTAACATTATTTAAAATGAATAACACTGAACCATAGATTTCTTGTGTAAAGTGAAGGACACAACTCCATTATGTGAAGTGAAGACAGTTGTGGAGAGATTTCAGGAGAGCCAGAACACTTTGCTTGGAAGCAGAGTTCTGTTGAATTTGAGTTGAATTCAGTTCTCATGACATTATATATAAATATATATATACTTTTAACTTATTGCCACTTAGATCTTGTAACTTTTCCAAGGACGGTCCTGTAATCTCTTTGTTCCCATAATCCTGGCCAAAACAAGGTCCCAATGGAGTGTATCATACTGGAGGTGATTAATGGACTGGGATAAGACCCCACCTCCTCCCCATATGCATCTTGTTCCCTTCTTTGCCATCTTTGTTATTTTTAAGTCAATTTTAATGTTAATATTATTTTAATGTTTTAAAATTTTATCTTGTGGTTTTATTTGGTTATAGGCTGTCGCCTCTAGGTGAGATTGGCAGCATATAAAATAAATAAATAAATAAATAAATAGTGAAAACGTTATAATAGATTAGGTCAACATTTTTCAGCATTATTTGGATGGGAAATAATTATTTTTCCTTCATTTTGTTCTGTTCTATTTTATAAATGGTACAAATATTGGGCATACTAACTTTGCAAAGCTACCAGTGCAGCATGCAAAATATTTGAAGTATGTGTAGTGAAACTGAATTTAAACTTTTTTTTCTGAATTGCATTACAGTATTTTGACTTTTTTTTTTGTCAGAATGGCTTTTTAATAGTTGCGTGTATTTTTATTTGTTAACATTTTGAATAATCTTGTAAGATAAAACAACTGCTCTGTTTTGTAGGATGTCTTGTACACAGTATGCAACCCTGTTGGGAAAGTACAACGTATTGTCATATTCAAGAGAAATGGAATACAAGCCATGGTTGAATATCCTTTTATTACTCTTCTAATAGAAGAAAATATACGTAGCTCAGGATTGAACTGTGGAGTCCTTAGTGCTCTCTGAGCATGGCAGTTCTATTGCAGATGTTTTTGTTATCCAATTTTATTACTGCATTGTTATGCTATAGCACAGGAACTTACCAGAAAGCTTATTTACTTGTTTGTTTATTCTGCATTTATATTTATGTAACCACTGAATTAGAACAACAAAAAAAACCAAAATGTAAAATCCAAAGATTAAACAAAATAAAACAGCAATAAAACAGTGCCAGCCCCAATGTAAATAACAGCCCAAAGGTGTTTTTTCAAAAGACAACTGAACTTTCTTGGTATTTTCTCTGAATTGAACTGAAGCTTCTTGGTTAAAAAGTGAAATGTTTTCAAAGAAAAACAACCAAGAAAATATAGTTGCCTTTTGGAAAAGCACCTTTGGGACAACCATGACCTGGATGAATGAGAATCTCTGTAGACATAAATAACAACTATAAATTATTCCTTAAATGCTCCGTAGAACAGTTTTATTCTGACATCTATTGGCAGTGAGATCCAGATGGATGCAAACTGAACCTTTGTAGGCCTGAATAAGTAGAGATAGCCTTGCAGCTTATGAAAAAATAATGCATAAAATTACACTTTCCTCACATTTGTCTCCAAGAATTGTACTTAAATAAATCAGAAACAAATGTTACCTTATGTATAAAATAGGAAAGAGAGGACTTCAGGAATACAGGGCTTGATTAGATTTTTTTTTTTTTGCAATCTTCTAATCAAAGTTAAATACAAAAGACATATATATTTAAAGAGTTATGAATTCTGAAATGTGAAGCACAAAGAAACAATTCTTTTGGTGGGGTCTGACAGAGGAAATCGTTATATTACATCCGACTTACAGTAAAGTAAGAACCATAACTATTGTTGACTCTGATAAATTGGGACCGTTAGTTGTTCTTTAGATGGTCGTTTAGATCTAAATGACAACAGTCATGGAGTCAATTTACCTAAGACTCACTGAAGATCGTGTCGATGTCTCAAGAAAAGTAAAATATTTTGTCTTGTAATTGCTTTATTTTAAAGACTGACTAAAGATCCTTAACATGTCTTATGTTTGAATCAGTTCTTTGTGCTCAGAAAGCAAAAGCTGCACTCAATGGAGCGGATATATATGCAGGATGCTGTACATTAAAAATTGAATATGCAAGGGTAAAGTTTTTATCTTCTTAAGCCTCTCTATTTTGTAGGAGAAAAAGCAATTATTAAAATTCACTGTTTTGCTTTTATCTTAACAGCCAACTCGACTTAATGTTATTCGAAATGACAATGATAGTTGGGATTATACTAAGCCATATCTGGGCAGACGAGGTAAGTGTTTGGGTAATTGTATCTACCATATACATATATATATATACATATGTAGACAGTTTCTTTAATGCAGTAGTCATTTCAAGCCAAATATTGCTGGTGGAACTTTTGTTAAAGCTTTGTAATCCTGGAAAAGAATAACTTTCAACCTTAGTGGCCCCTGGTGGTATACTGAATTGTTTAGGCCATGAAGGAACCCATACATGCAAGCATGTTTGCAGTACAAGGATTTGCATTTCTCCAAGCAGCTCTCACTCTTTGGAGGAGAGGACACTGATGCAGACTTTTCCTTACAAACTACAAACTTGCACGCTGCTTCTCCATGGAAAGGAATTTTCCCATATGGTGGACAAGGCATTAAGAAGGATAGAGGACTCCAGCAGGCTGACTCTACACTTCATCATGCACCACATCGGCATCATCAAATGGCCCTCTGAAAAATCTCAGACTTGCAATTCACCTTGACTGCATACTGCATGCATCATCACTACAAGCATGTCAAGAAGGATACTTACAATACTTCCGGTTTCATGTCATGAATACCATGGTAGACTGTACCCATTATAATCAGCTTGCATATGGTTCCAGTCTTATATCCCTAAAACAAAGCAGTACAATATGGAAGATTCCAAGTCTTGTTTATCTCCTGTACATTGTGGTAATTGTTTTGGTTGTATGTAAGATAGGTTTTCCAATGTAAATGTTGTCTAAAGGATCATAACTACTTAAAAATAAATTGAAATTTTGCAGCAACCTGTCAGGCAAGTTCCTCAGGTTTTGCTACATTACCCTAAGTATATTTCATTCTTTTTTTTTAACTGCAAAGCATAGCAGGGACATTGTTTACATCAGTAAAAAAAAACCTGCATGAAAGTGTAAAAAAAAAAATCTTATTCTGTACTTCTCTGTAATTTCTAATGACATGTATAATTTGCTGTATATACTTCTTGAAACTTTAGGCATTAATAGCAGGAAGTTGGGAAACTTATCAAGGTAGAGTATTTAGCAAATTTTGAACATGAAATAAGATTTGACTTCAATAATTATCACAGGATTGGATTTTTTAGGTATTTTGACTGTAAAAATGTACTATTAATATTAGGTCTTGGCTTGCTTTAAGTTTTAACTAAAAGTTGCATTTTATAGATAGTACTTTGATTGTGAAATGTACTACAGTATTAAAATGTAGGCTTTGGAATGAAGAATTAAGTATTTGTAAAAAGTTAATAAGGGGGCTATGCTATTGGTTAGCAGATTATTCAACCACAATGCTATGGTAAAACTTAAACTCTGTTTCAAATTGCCACATAACATAACTATTTAAGATACTAAGTTCACACATTCAATTCAGATTCTGTTTAGAGACTGTGGCCTGTCCTGGTAAATGAAACTGTGAGAAATAAGAAATCTTTCCTTGAAGGAAAATAACATAGATGTATCAAATAATTTGATGTTTAGTGTGGCATTTGACTTTTCTTTGAATAGTAAGGCCTGCTTCTTATTTTTAACTTTTTTTGAACATCATTTCAGTTCTCAAATGTGGGTTTGCTTATGTAGCACTGAGATATCTTTGAATATGTGCAGCTTGTTGTTTAAATACACCCACATAATTGCTTTTCCTTAAATTAATTCAGGTGATTCCTAGTCCTATTCTCAGACAGGAAGAAGTACTACCTGTACTACCATAGCTAATTCTCAGTAGTTTTTTGTTCAATGACCGTTTAGAATTAAGATGGTACTGGAAAAAATGGATGTCCATGCTCAAAATTATGGTTGTTGCAGCATCCCCATAGTCATGTGACCAAAATTAGGGTGCTTGGCAGCCCACCCACACTTATGACTATAGCCCTGTTGCAACTCCCCTACCCATTTATGCTCTTTTGGCTGTTCTATGCAGTGGTACTTCTCATCAAAGGTGATACTGGGGCAAGAATGGGGTTTCTGCCATTCTCCAAATAATGTATTCATTTTTGCGAGACCTAGGGTAGATTTCCAAAGGATTGTGAGAATGGAGTGTATGGCCTTGGGGAGAAGGCCTGGAACTGCTAGCATCAGCTTGCATACAGTACAGTTAGGGCATGCCTCGTTAGCAGGAGTAAAATGGCGAAGATTAGCTGAGCATGGCAGAACCTGTGAAGCACAGGGCTGTGGGGGCAACTGGAACTTTGCACAATGGTGGTGGGCTGGCTGGCCACGGAGTAGGGCTTGAGGCAACATTTCTTGGTTGCAGCTGTGGTGCTGGGTTGAAGTAGAGGCCTGGAGTCAATGGTATCTGGCTGAGGCCTCCGCTTCAGTTTCATCCCTGTTGCTGATGCTGCCAAGTAGCACTGTCCAGTGTAGCTCAAAGAGTATAGATGGGGGGGGAGTGGCTGAGAGAAGTTGCAATGCCCCTGTTGTCATAAGTGCTGCTGGGCCAGGTGGAGCACCTAAGGCTTCCTGGGGCACAGTAGCTTTGTGCCATGCTGCCGGGACAGGCTGAGACTTCTAGGAACAACTGCAGTTTTGCACCACATTGCAGCACCCCCTCCAACATTTGTGTGGCTTGTGCCAGGCCTCCCCCACCTCACTCCTTACCTGGGACTCCCTCTGCTTAACCTGTGTTTCTCAGTTAACAACAGCAATTGGGAATGTGGAGGTTGCAGTTGCTAAGAGATGCAATTACATGATGTCTTGCTTTATGAGTGCATTGCTTAGTAATGAATTTCATTACTAAGTTCCAATTGTAGTCACAGGTTGAAGACTATCTGTATGTAGCATTACTTTCAAATTGTAATGGGAAAACCTGCACCGTATTTTCTGTAGATAGACAATTATAGCTTTTTTATTTTTATAATTAACAATTAATAAAAGCTACTGTCTATATCAATTTTAATGAATCATCAGAGAACATAATGCAGGGGTGTCAAACTCGCAACGTCACATGATGTGTCGTGACGTATCGCGACTTTTTTTCCATTGCAGGCAATGGGGTGGGTGCGGTTTCGGCATGACACATCCAGCCCGCGGGCCGGCAGTTCCTGACATAATGTGAGCAATAAACCAACTGCCAATGAGTGGGCAACTTCCTCAGTATGGAAAATCACTCATTTATTTTGGACAGTACTCATCAGTACAATGAGGCAGTACTCCTATTATCTTAGGAGAAGAATGATGAAAGTATCTCAGGAACAGGTTACTTTCTGTGCCTCTCCTCTTCTCAGCCAGTGCTTTTGGCTGTATTAATTACTGTATGTTTTGTTACATTGGTATCTTGACCTTATTTCAGAAATACTTAAGATTTGTTTTAGCCTTATAATTCTCTGGCACAGTCGGCTAATCTTGTCTAGGCTTTTAAGCTAAGCAGCTTGGTGGGTTTAGTGATAGGGATCTGTCAGTTTAGACCGGCTGTGATAGGGATCTGTCAGTTTAGACCGGCTGCAAATTTGAACAAACCCCCCCCCCCAAAAAAAAACAAAAAAAAACAAAACCCGTTAACAAGAAAGCTACATGTTCTTGGGCATGAAATTACCAGAAATCAAGCACAACTTGGAGTTTTTTATTTTTTACATTAAGCAGATAATTTTGAATATTTGAACTGGTTTGGATTTCCTTTTTTCATCAAGGGTATTGTGTTACAGCATTACATTGAGGAACCTAATATAAACGTGCTAGCTGAAATCTTGTCAGTTGTATTGCATATAGATCCTGTTGTCTATATTGGTACAACTGCTCTGTTTTCCATAGATGCATACTTTATAGTTACATAGAAATATATACCAGACAAATAAAACGTACCTGTTTTTGTTTTTAGTTAAAGCCTATATGGTTATCAAGAGTCGTAGCATCTTTATTTTTTTTTAACTGAGAATTTTTTCATATTTCATTTTCAGTTGTTGGTTAGAAATTATTTTTAATTCTCTAAATGATTTTTTGTATAGTTGTAGCATGAACATAAAATCTAGTGGATGTTTTATAGGAAGGATACTGTGATTTTTATTGCTATGTTTTATGAGTCATAGAGTTGGAAAGGATCTTAGAAGTGCTCGATACAGAATCCATTGCAGCATCTCTGAGGGATTATCATTTTTAAAAATTATATATACAAGAAGTGATTATTGGTGGTGAATGCAATTACATCTAAGCCAAATAATAATATATCTAAAATAAGGGGAAAAGTAATTGCCAAGCTCTATATCAGTGATGGC